CCCGCTGCGGTGTCCCTGCTCGAGCAGAGGGCAGGCGACCTCCCGAGACCCTCTCCCACCCGGCCAGACGGTGATTCTGTACGGAGTTTCTTTGGGGCAGATTATTTACGAGGAGGCTGCGATGTGTTCTGTGTGAAGCTGCAGCACACCCCGGGGCACGCAGCCAGCCTGCGGTGCAGTGTCCGAGGCAGCTGCTGGTCTGAGTCTTGCGAAGCTGAGCATTCGGGTGCTGTGAGCCAGGGCAGAAAAGCACCACTTTAAAAATAGTACATTGTGGGTTGTGTTCATGTGTTGTCTGGTATCAAAGCCTTCAGGGCTTACATGTTTAAAGTGTGTTAGGTTTTGGGTTGTTTTTGGGTTTTTTTTTGCATGGGTAAAAACTTTCAAGAAGTTGAATTTCATCACTTCAAAAAAAAGACTGAAAGTTGAAAGATCCAGTTATCTTTCTCGTCAGTACAAAAAGCTTACAACCTATGGCAGAGGCTAGGCTGAACCTCCTTTTGCCATGTAACTAAGATTAGCATCACATTTACTGCGTGCAGAGGCTCTGCTCTACATGGCCATGTATCTGACGAGGTGGAACTCTATTCCTCAGCATGACATGCAGAAGCTTCAAACAAATTATTGACTAGAGTTGCTTTGTACTGAGATGGAAGTGACTAAGCATACCACATTCCTGAGGTGCTACTTATTTTGATATAAAATCTGCTCGTTGGGTACTGCCTGTGTCTTTCAGGCATCAACATGGCAGAGTTTTGTTCAGGAACTCTTCAGGTTTGTTCTGGAGCTGAACAGAATGGAAGTAGCTGAGAACTCTGGAAAGGGTCCTTTCAGCTGTGCTGGCTGTCCCCTTACCCTCCAGGACTGAGCTGGCAGCTTTCCTAGACTTCAGAGGACCATAAACTGTCTTTTATTTGGCTACCAACACAGGAGGCTTGGTGACAAGGAGGTCCCTTGTGGGTGGTTTAGAACTCCATGGCTCTCATCAAAGGAGGGAAAGATTGCTTCAGAATGTATCGGCTTGCCGAGTCAGTGATGTGCGTGTTCTGATGCCTGTTGTGCAGCAGGATAAGGTTAGTTAGTGCCGTCCTTTAGCTAACCAGCTGCTAGTGTGAGTGTGGTGGGGGGGTTGTGGGGCACCAGCAGCACCTGCTGTGGGTGGGCTTGACCTCCGCATCAGAGCTTTTTATTCTTGAACAGCACTGGCAGCTTTCTCTCCTTGAGCAGGTGGTTTCAGGAAATGGAATTGTCTTGAGACTTTGTATGGAAAATGCTTAGTGTGCTCCCTGGCTTTCAGAACTGGAAAAAGAGTCAGGGCTACCTGTCACGTGGCATGAACGTGCCTCATTCTTCTGCATTGGATAAGATACGGAAGCTGTGTTCAAACAGCATGGGTCTGAGAGGCAGTCTTTTCAGAGAAGTGCGTGATACTTTTGTCTAGAATTTTAAAAATTTTGCCCCAAACTACTGATTTCAATGAAATAGTTCAGGATTCTTCCCTGCACCAAACTGCTGTAAGTACTAACGCAGTAGGGATGAAAAACTTGGCTTCTGTGGGAGTGCTGGGAAGCATACTGGAGCTGCTGAAGGAGTTTGGAAGGAGAGGTCAGGAGAGAAGTAGTTGTGTTAAGTCTGATTAGTTTGTGAAAGGGACAGTGCATATGGTCCCCGAGAAACAAGTGCTGGCTGCCTGACTCGGGTGGTCTCTGCACGCCCAGGATGGACCCAACTAGAAAGCTGAGCAGGACTGCTCTGCCTGCCCCGTGCAGCGCTTGGTCCTTACGGGTGCTGCACACGGGTGTTTTGCCAGGCTGCTGGTCTGAGCCCAGGCGGAGCTGACAGCCGGGGCATTGGGAGAAGAAAGCTGCCAGTGCCGTCGGGACGCGAGGCAGCCTTTGGTGCCACGGGTGGGCTGGCTGTCAGTGTGGAGCTCCTGTGCTCCGTGAATGCGTGTGCTGACCTTGGGGTGCTTAGCCCTGTGAACGCGCCCGTTCCTCCACACCGCAGGGTCCTTGGGGGCCTGTCCCTGGGCGAATTCTGCATCCCATGGTCCCCTGTTTGAACACTTGGCAGGGAGTAAAGTTGCCTGGTCTGAAGCCATGCTGGCTGAGGCGGCTCTCACTCCTCTCTGAGCCTGACTTTTCCCATCAGAGCCTTTGCTGCTTTGCTGGCTCGTGCTTTGGGTCCTGGGGAGCGGCCCCGAGCACTGCTGCTGTAGAGCAGTTGCAGCAGCACAGGAAAGGGGAGAGCTGCTTTCCTGCCTCCTAATCAGGGCTGTGCAGACAGGGATTGAGGAAGGATGGCTCTGCTCTGGCTCAGGATGTTTTGGAAATAGTGCCTATTTATAGGAGAGGGCAGGGGCCCCTTGCTGCCTGCAGCAGTCCGGCTGTGCGGGATGAGGGTCTCACCGTGGGTGCGGCAGCACGGCAGCGCCCTGGGCAAGGGACCCGGGGAGAATGGGGTAGGTGTGGTTTGCCGATTTGTGTGTTGTCTGTCGTTCTTGAACTTGCACTGCTCTCTCCCTGCCCTCCGTGAGGGGATCAGCAGCCCTGTGTTCACCCATCCCAAGAATCCCTGCAGCTTTCTCTGGAGACAGGCAGCAGTGGGATTCTGGCTACAGCAAACGATGCTGCTGTGATAGGTGCTGTGAGAGTGCAGCGGAGAGCCGACGCTCGGTGCCATGTGTGCCCAAGCGGTCACAGAACTGCTTGGGGAGCCCTGGGCTGTCCTGCAGGAATGAGCTTTCTCGCTAACTACATCAAGTAAGTCTGCCAAGGCCAGTGCTTTTTTTTTTTAATTGCACTGTAAATGACTCTGCCAAGCAGAGCAGCAACGCCAGGGATAGAGCCAGTGGCGCTGGAGCAGAATGTGAGGGGTGGTATCAGCAGTGGGAAGGACACGGGCCTGGGCTGCGGCGGGGGCTCTCTACGTGCAGCGTGGTGCAGCGGCATGAACCCGTGTTGAGCAGGTTTAAGCTGCTCGGTCTTGCCGCTTGGTTTGCTTCCTGACCTTGGTTCTGCAAATGCTGACAGGCTCTGGCGAGTCAGCGAAGGCTGGGTGTTGTAACAGCGGCTGTGGTGGACACGTACCCAGTTTTTGGCAGCGAGAGCGGGGTGGATCTGCTGGGTGGAGCCGAGTACAGGCTCTGGCTGTGTCCTGCATGCCCCCCTGGAGCAAGGCTGGCTGGCTTTCTGCAGAGGTCCTCGGGTTGTGCTGCGTGGGGGAGTGGGGACTGCTTGCTGCTCGTGTTCTGCCGTTTGCAGGGAGACTTCTTGGTGCCAGGGGAATGTTACTGAAGCCAGCGTTGGCTGGGTTGCCGCTTGGTAACCTGGCCTGAGCCTGAGCTGTGCTGAGCGCTTGTCTCTGGACACAAATGGAGAACGTTAAATAGACCTGGAGGGCTGGAGCTTCTGAAATGGGGTAACTGCCTGGAGAAAGGGAGGAAGAGAGGATATTAGAGCCTATGGAGATCAGTTTTCAACCCTGCTGGCATATCTGAGAGTATTGGGGTGCCTCGTGAGCTCCAGGGAGGGCTGGGGACTCCACATGTGGGATGTCTGTACTGGGGTCACAGCAGACCTGGGGGGGTGTGTTCTGTTTGCGCATGCTCGGCTTGGGCCGGAGAAGTCATAGTATTTCTTTAGCATTCCTTTTCCTCTGATGATCTAAACACAAGGCTGTTTTCCTCTTGAGCATGAGAACTCACCCGTTTCCTCTGCTTTTGGCCTCTGCCTTTCAAACTTCCCCTGGCTGCAAGTGGTGGGCTGTGCACCACTGCCCTCCAGACTCTCTGATGGCAAAGTTAGGTCAGGCGCTGACAAGCTGAACATCAGACAGGTTTTTACTTGTGTTGTGCAGCAGGAGAGCACTTCTGGGAGGAGGAGTGAGTCGGGCTCTTCTCCGGTCACTGCGCTGCCCTGGTCCTGCGTGAAGCAGCATCCGTCCCGCTGCTGCTGCCTCCCTGGAGAAGTGGATGTGGTTCCCTTCCCACAGCGCTGGTGTGGTTCCTTGTGTCTTGCTCTGTCTCTGCTGTGTTGAGAGCTCTGGTGGGGACATTCCGCTGCGGTGGGTTGGCTGTGTGCTGCCTGAGGCGCTCCGGGAGGAACGGAGCACTCCTGCCTGGCCGGCGTCGGTACCACCAAGCAGCAGAGGGGTGGCTGAGAGCTCTGCTGCGGACAGGCCATGCTGCTGTGTTCCTGTGCCATTAAATAATTTCCTTGAGTTTGGACCCTTGGGATCCCTGGCTGTGTTTTGTTCCTGCTGTGGTGTTTTGTTTGTTTTTTAAGCCAGTGGGACCTCTGCTTCCTTTCGTTAGCCCTCCCAGATGGGTGCTACAGAAACAGGCTTTGTGGGGAGCATGCTCTGGAAACCAGTCTCGAACGTGTGATTTGAGGAGGAATGTTCTTCCCCAGTTGCCAGAGTGCAGCTGGGAGTTCCCGGTGGTGTGTGTGGTTGGAGTGCAGCTGATGGTTCTTTTCTTCTCCTTGTCCGCAGGTCACACTGGCAGGAGTCCTTGCAGAGCTGACACCAGGGGACACCGCTGGGCGCTCCAGGGTCTCACGCCAGCTTGACGCGTGCAGGACATGGGTGGACCTGGACAAGGCTGGCCATCGATGGGGTGTTTGTAGGCACACTGGCACTTGCCATGCACCCAGCAGGGTCCGTGGACAGTAGCTTCTCCCGATCTGCTGTGCAGACCCTCTCCCGGAGCCACTGCCGCAACATCAAACAAAAGATCTCCCAGTGGGAGGGGAGGACACAGAGGTGCTCCAGCAAGGAGAAACAGCAGCTGAAGGACTTTGGAGTAAACTATGATCCCAGCTGTGATGTTCTATCCAGAGTAAAGCCAGAACACAGGGAGAAGAGCAGAAAGACTGGGTCCAAAGATCCAAAGAGCCTGGGTCTGGACTTCAGGGAAGGTGCACGGAGCTGCTTACAGACCGATGACTGTGGTGATCTCCTGCGCTGTGCATACAGCCTGGCTTCCCAAGCCAAGGAGAAAGGAGAGGGGCAAGCAGGCTTCTTGGACCTGGAAGCGACACTGCCTCCAGGTAACTTCTATACCTCACAAGCGCTGTGGAGGAGAGTAGATCCCCTTCTGCCTGGCAAAGCCCCACCAGGTCCCTCGGACCTTCAAAGGAAGCGAGGGAGCTGTGGCTCCACAGAAAGAGAACTTAAAGCCAAAGGAGTGGACTGTCTCTGCAGGGCAGAGAGGAGCGTGAAAAACATTTACTCTGAGGCTGAGGGGCAAGAGGAGGAGCCAGCTGCTGTCCCACCACCCAAGCCCCGTAGGACTTTCCACTATCTTGGAGAAAAGGGTGCCAGTAGCTGTAGCGATGCCAGCGCTACCAGGGAAGGTCCCCTGCAAAAGCAGCGTGGAGGAGACTTGGTGTCATCCTCCAACAATCCTGAGAAGAGAATAGCCAGCAGGAGGATCAGAGGGAGAACCCAGAGGTACATCGATTCATCGCTCCTGTCTGAAATGTGTTTCCTTAAATCAGTTTCTAGATGGGTTTAAACAGCTTGCTTGCCCTGATATACTTGAGGAGGTGCCAGTACCAATAGTGCCTCTCTTGATGGAGAGAGGATATTTCTGGATGAAGGTATCTCCTTCCTAGCACTGCGTATGCGCTGCTTTCGCTACTGATAATGTTGTAAGGGCTAAAAGCCCCAAACAGATGTCAGTCCCATACTTAAAACAGAGTTGAGTGACAATATGCTGGCCCCAGGGAGAGTGCTGCCTGCTGCTTGCCGTGAGCTTGTCCTCAGCTGCAATTTGTGGATTACAGAGAAGCTTTGCCTTGTAGCGGTATGGCTGCTAAATGTTCTGGCGTTCCTGGGAGTGAAAGATTCTCTTACTGTTCAGAGTTGGAGGCTGGCAGCTCTGGGCACCCCTGTTGCAGTAGGTCTAGCTGTTCTGTCCGCTTGCCTTGTAGGTCCCTGTTACAGAGTGAAAAAAACCTCTGAGCTAGCTTGATGCTAGTTCTGCTTAGAGAAGGACTTTTCTGCTTCTCACACCGCCCTGCCAGTAGGGAGGCTGGGGGTGGGCAAGAAGCTGGGAGGGGACACAGCTGGGACGGCTGACCCCAGCTGACCAAAGGGATGTTCCATACCATATGGTGTCAAGCTGGGGGAAGAAGAAGGAAGGAGGGGCATTCGGGCTCACAGCATTTGTCTTCCCAAGTAACTGTAACGCGTGACGGAGCCCTGCTTTCCTGGAGATGGCTGAACACCTGCCTGCCGATGGGAAGCAGTGAATTAATTCCTTGCTTTGCTTTGCTTGCCTGCGCAGCTTTTGCTTTAGGTATTAAACTGTCTTTATCTTGACCCACATGTTTTCTCACTTGGACCCTTTTGATTCTTTTCCCCATCCCACTGGGTGGGAGCAAGCAAGCAGCTCTATGGGGCTGAGCTGCCGGCTGGGGTTAAACCACAACACTTAGAAATCAGAGAGTCCAGAATGGAGCATCTGTGTGCTTGATGGCCCCAAAGGGGACCATGCTCTGTGTGGACTGGAGACAGCAATTCACTGGTACATGCAGGTGCCTTTAGAAGAAGTTACACTGGTTTTCCTCTAGGAAATCTTTTGAGTTTGAGGATGTCCAGGGCTTCCGCAACCGGATGGGAACCACCAACTCCCACAGACTTCAAGAAGAGACAAATGGCACTACAGGATCCAGGCTTGTCTACACACAGTCAGAAGACAACATCTACGAGGACATTATCTGTATGTGCCTGTGCTTCTGGCGGGTGCACTCACTTTATTTAAGGGTAGCAGATTTGCTGGGGAGGGAGGAATGAAGATGAGAATGCATTGAGGCTTTTTCCAGCTCTGTGATTTTTAAGGTCTTCCCCATCTGGGGTTCTTTGTTGAGATTTGTAACTATTTGCATGTGAACAGCCTGATTTCAGATGTTGTGGAAGGTTGCTAGAGTTGGCCTGTGCTAAACTGATTTATTTATTAGCTCTTCAGATGTTTTGCTCAAGTGCTGCACAGAGATCAGCATGAACACTGACAAATTAGCTGCTTTGCACTGGTGCTACTTTCTCTGCAGTGGCAGAAGTGTTTTGTTTTGCTGAGTCCATGTACAGTTTGCCAAGTTGTTGGTAGTGGGTTAGAAGGATCTTTGAGTGGTGGAAACCTAATGCATCTTAGAACAGGTCTCTCTCAGACCCTGTTAAAGTTTGGCAGACAGTTGCATGCTCTCCCTGCTTACATCCCTAGCAAGAATGCAGGACTTTATCTCCTTTCATGAATCTCTTGTCCAATGCTTTTTCCAGGTTCTGCAAAAGAGAACTCCTATGAAGATATTGGAGCACTGCCCTTACCCCTGTGGAAGGTCCCATCTGTCTGGAAGGTGCCACCCTCCCGAAGCACCAGGAGGGCTCCCAAGGTAGAGTGAGGGGGTTAAATTGTGTTTACAGAAAGTCATCCTCACAAGGGCCATATTTTGTGCTTCCCCTGTCCCCACACTCCCCACTGCTACATCATTGGTTTTCCTTATTTTTTATTTTTTGTTATTAATGTAAATAATAATGAACAGCCATGGCAGTGGCAGTTGATTAAGATACTAAGGAGAAAAAGAATGGGGACAAGAAAGTGTTGATGAGATGCTTGAGTGTGTGGGGTCGGGATGGGATGGAGAGCTTGGCAGAGCAGAAGGCTGCAGGCATTTTATAATTTGTGATCGCACTCCTTTGACTCTCAGCTTGGACCAAAGCTTAATCCCATGTTTAACCATCTCTTCTGATTCTGTTTTCTAGCCTCCCCCAAAGCCTCTGTTCCTCAGTCGCAAGACTCTTGAGCTAAAGCCCTCCCAGACTAGTTTCCAAGGGAAAATGGTGAAGGACACAACCCTGCCTGTCACACTGTCCGAGTGGAAGCTGTTCCGAGCAGCAGAGGCTGCTAGCAGAAGAAAGAACTTGCCGTGGGTGAGATTTAAGCATGAAACATTACTTCTTGAATGGCATTTTGAACTGTTGCTGCTTTGTCTAGCACCTTCCAAGTGCTTTGTAAGTGGTCATGGAGCTGTGTGTCTTCTGAGGCCAGAGTGGTGAGCAAGGCTTTTAATCCACAATTGAAGACTCTGTTGTAATTCTCATTTGATGCATTGGGAATCTTTCTAGATACTATTATTGGTTAGCAGCTGATGTCCCTCAGTAATGAAATGCAGCACGTGCTCTGGAAGGACAGCCGCAGCTGCCGCTGAAGTGCTCTGGGTCTGGCACTCCGTGCGTAGGACTCAAATTCCAGTTGCAGTAGTGGCAATAACTTGCTTTTGCCCTGGTAAAACCATTTGACTACTGAAGATCTTTATTTCTTGTGAAAACTGGGTGTATTTGCTCAAATTGCACAAGATTGTGAGGTAGAGTTGGGCAGCAGCAAAATACCTTTCAAAATTTAATGCGTTAGAGTAACAAGCAACTTCTTGTATGTGTTTTTAAACAAGCTGTAGGACTGGAAAGTAAGGAAGGAGATGGCAAGGTTATAAAAATGCAGGGATGGAGAGTATCTTTCAGTTGGAGGGGGGGAAAGAAAACATTCCCCAAAAGCAAACCTGTTCCAGAAATCTGGGAACAATTTACATGCAGGAAGCACGCTTTGCTCTTTGCTCGCAGGGAATTGAGCCAAGATTGCTTGAGAGGCTGAGAAAAGGATTGGAGTCTAAAAAGAAAAAAAAACTTATGTGTTGCTTAAGAAACACATATCTGCCTTAAACACACCCAGTATCTTTCACTGGTGACTCACCTCCACAAAATCAGAACAGGAATGGAAATCCTCTGGGTACGGCTGGGTGGTAGAGGGGAAGGCAGGGAGGTGTGGCCGGAGAAGCATGGCTTGCTGCTCTGGGTTGTTTTCTTCCTGCAGAATCATTGTGCCAGGACTGGCTAACACAGAAAATGGTGAGGAAAAGATGAAAAGGAGAAGAACCTAAGCCTAGTTTGCTGAGCTGGGGATAAAGGCCTGAGCTGAAAAACAGGTTCTCTGTCTGAGTGTCTTCCTTTTAGTGCAGTGTTTGTGGTGACAAATCGATGGGCCCCACCCTCCTACATGCAGTGGGAGCATTTAGTGAATCCTTGAGACAAGAAGGAACTTGACCTGCTCACTGCATTTAGCTTGTATCCCTCTTCACAGTGAAGTGATCACCGTCTCTGATGCGCAGAGTCACGGAGGGAGGCCATACAGGCCTGGCACAGGAGCAAGGGACTTTGCTTTTGAGGCTTTTGTGACCAGTGGAAGGAAGGTTAGCAGCGTCAGCTTGGAGTGTCTAAATGCTGACCCTTCTTTCATGTCTGTAACTTAGTCTGCGTTGGGCTATGTTTTTCTATGAAGTTTTTGTTCCAGTGGACCAGGTTAGTGGTGTCCCTCCAGCATACACCCATTATTCTGTCTCACTGCCTCTCTTCACCTATGCAAACTGCAAGTACATAGTCCTTTCATTTTAGCAGACTACCCTGCAACAAGGATGGTGCTTGGAGCAGCCTTGTTCTGTGCCCAACACGGTGCTTTAGAGAACTTACTCGAGCTGTCTGACATCCAACTACAGCAGCAAATCTGAAAACCAAACCAAGGAAACAAAAAACAAACCCCAAGTGATGCTGAGAGAGCTTGGCTTTTTCTGGGCTTGGAAAGAATTGGGATGTTTGAGAGCATGAGGTGTTCAGAGTCCTTTGTGGTGAAGGGTTTATAAGGTATTCTTGCAAGTGCCTTTGCAGTTGGGCTTTAATAAAAAAGGGAGATCTGATGCCAGACAGTTTGCGCTTTTGCTATCTGTCAGGTGAGCAAAGTATGGTAACTTCCAGAATGCTTGTACGGTTCGGTGCCAGCTTTGAGTTGTGCTAACAAGTAAACTCTCTCATAGCAAAAGTTCTGTGCTCGCTCATATCCAGCGAGCTGTGCTGAAAGTGCTCTGGCAAGCAGGACTTGTGCAGCCTTTCCCACGTGTTGTGGTGCTAGATGATAGCTGCTGGGCTGCAGTCCTGTTGGCACCTGGACCCTTTTCTGGACCCCCACATTAACCTCTGCTTCTGCTTTGGATTTCAGCTGGTACTGAAAATACAAGAGATCTTTGATTCCAAGCGTGGAAAGAAGAGGGTGAAGTTGCTCAGTCCTTCTGGGAGAGAAGTGCCTCCAATGAAAGGTATAGAGGTCTCCAGCACCATTCTCTTTGCTATAAACCTCGTGAGCGACACAGTTCTGTATGTCTTGGGGTACTGCTGGCAGGCCAGGCACCACCACCCCCTCCAGCTCATGCTGGGCTGACCCAGCAGAGCTAAACCCCACGTGCTGCAGCTGGAATTGTTGAGCTTTCAGCACCACTAGGATTGGGAACACTTGCCCAACCCAACTTTACACTGTCACAAATGGAAAATTCCGCTATGATCTGAGCCTTAAGAGCTGGGCTACTGGCTAAAAGTGCTTTATCAAAAAAGCAGAACAAACCCCAAAATTCCCCACAAAACCACTTGGCACAAGAACTACTTCTGACTACTCCACTCGTTGGTTTTGTGCCTCTAAAATGATATTCTCGTGTTCTGATTTTGTAGCTGTGGTATGGTCTTTATTTATAGTATGTTCTGTTCAGGAACTCTGTTAACTTTTATGGCAGCATCGAATAACCACCTGGTTTCTGTTCTTTGCCTTTGTTCAGCTGACCTACGGGTGGTTTACTGGAAACAGTGACTTGGTATGAAATTCATTTCTTTAAATTTACTGTTGTAGCACGTTTGCCAGTACCGGCTGTTCTTCGCTGATGCTTTGAGCAGCATAGGTGGGCAGCCCTGAGTGATGTTGGTCTGATGAGTCTTAAGTTCTCTCTCTTTCCCAGCTTTGGGTGTTGTTCATTTTCCTTCTGCATGGCTAATAAGTGAAAACTATGTGTGTTTCAGGTGAAACCATTGGGAACGAAAGTGATACAGAAAATCAGCCAAAAAGTGAGTGAATCACGGGGGCTGGTCCTGTCCCCATAGCACTACACGCTTGGCTACGGCTCTGATTGCATAAGCACACTGACTAGTTGTGGCTTCTGCTCAGAGAGAGGAAGGGAACATCTAAGAGGCAGCATGGCCAAGGCTGGGAGCTGTGCTGTGAGAAATCAGCCTCTATTTCTGCCACTTCTCCTGAGCCCTTGAGGTTTAATGCCATTAATCTGCCAGTTGCTAGAAGTAGATTGATTTTTAGGTTGGTAGAGTCACACTTAAATATGTCTTGCAGGAGATTGTCCCTGGATCCCTTTTGCTGCTACTACTTGAGGTTATTTTCCCCCTGCTTCCTTCCCTTGGTTCTGTTTTGTACATAAAATGTTGTGAAATACCTTTTTGTCTGTGGAGAAATCACTTGGTTATTTGTCTGGTTCCACAGTCCTGAGTTTGACCCAGACTGCAGACTTGAAATGCTCGCTTGTTTTTAGCTGGTGTGAGAAGGGCCAAAGCGGTCTTAGCTTCTGTGCTGGTAAGGTTTGAATGCGAAAGAGTGATGGTTGACCAGCAGCGCTGATGAGATATCTGTCATGTCTCTAAGCAAGCATCTAGCGAAAAGGACCGACGGCATTGTTTTAGATGTTTTATTTACTTGGAGGGAAGTGTACAGAAGGCCTTAACTTGGAGTGAATAGTGAAGTTCCACTTTTTTATGTGCTGGAGGAGCAGACGCAGGAGTCCTGGTACTGTAGAGTGCAGCAGTGACGTTCGGCAGATGCACCCATCTCTTTTCCCCCTTCTGAGCGTGGTGACGGTTCCTGTAGGTGTGTGGCAGTGATGGCCACAGGCTGGTTTGGGATTTGTTCCCTCCTTCAGGTCGACACCGGCGCCTGCTGCAGATGCAGTCAGGCCCCAAGAGGAACCCGCGCTACCAGACTTTGGAGAGGGATTTGATAGAGCTCCAGGAGCAGTGGCTGTTTCAGCTGTTTGTGGTGGTGTCGCTGCACAAGAAGGCGTCAGAGATGACATACACACCACAGATCATACAGCAGTTTCCCAGCAAGGTAGGAGCTGTGTGGAAACCTGCCCACAAAACACACTGAGCAGCTGCTTATTTCCTGTCACCATGTGTATCCCTTCTGAACTCTACACTGGTAAAGCTTGCTCCTGCTCAGGATACAGGCTTGGAATGTGAAGCACCTTGTTCTGTTATGGACCTAATGTATAGCGTTGGGCAGTTGTTGAGTATCTTTCTTGATAATGAGTTTACTGTCTTTCATTGGAGCTAGGAAGGCTCCTATTCAGTTGTAATTGCCTGGAAATCTCATAAAGCCGTGCTGTATTGTGATGCCCGCTGAGGCAGCCTGCAGGAGAGGAGAGGGAGTGCAGTGCTCTGTTCCCAAAGCTGGCATGATCTCATCCTGGTAGTCTGGGATTTGTAAACAAGGAGTGAAGTAATTCGATGGTGCACAGGAACTAGAATCCCAGGGCTTTTACGCATATTTATACTGTTGTGGGAAAAAAAAGTTAAAATGGTAAAGCTGTGTGTGCTAGCCCCCGAAAAGCAGAGGAGGACTGTGGGAGTTCAAGTACTGTAGCTAGAACAAGCCATTTGAAATAAGCTTTCCTTCAGCCCAGATGGATGACAAGATCAGAGTGTGGCTCTGAATTATGAGTTGGTGTTCACAGTGATTACTGTGAAGCTAAGAGGATGGAGCCTTGATGCTTGCCTCTGTGGTTCCAGATTGAAATGAATGTTCAGTTGTCACCATCCAGGCTTGTACCTGCTACCTTCCACTAAAAATCAGAACAAAAATCATAATTCTATCAGTGCTATCAAGAGTAAGCCAGAGATTATTGAGGAATCTGCATGTCATCCAACAGAGAAGGAGATGTCAGATTCATTAAGGGAGGTTATGTGGGACTCCAGCAGGACCCAGAGTGTCCAGCTGTGTAAGGAATTTGTGTGCAAATAACTCCAGTGTCTTAAATGTGTAAATGTTCTGGATTCAGAAAATGAATAAGGGACTACAGCCAGAAAGAGTGCACATCTTAATATAGGGGGCAAAACTGAATGTACACAAATAATGCCTGCTAAAAGTGCAAACTGAAGGGTGTTAGGAGGAAGAACAGAATGGAACTAGATCTAGTAGTCAGAACGTGTTCTCCTATACTTGTGCATGAGCTTACCTGGTGGTTCAGCATCTGTAAGTGTTGGGAAGATGTCCCATTGTTTTAAATGCTGCAGCTGTGCATCACACTTCAATGACTTCAAATGCATGTGTTACCCTTCCAGCCTGAACATCCCTTCAGACAGTCGAAGGATACTGAAGAGAGGCTAAAGGTCATTCCCAAATTCTGCTTTCCAGATCCCAAAGACTGGTTTCCTGCATCAGACCTTAAAAGGTAAGGATTTGTTTTTCAATACTGATGCCTATAACGGGCAATGCCCAAAGCTTAGGTATGTGCCGGTTTCCTGGACCAGAGGAACTGCAGCCAGAGCAAGGAAAAATGGGAAAGGCTGAATCCCTAACCCCTGTGATGGGGGAACATGAGGTATGGAGGGGGAGAAGGGAGTTTGTAACATCTGTTCAAGGCCAGGTCCCAGGGCTGGCAGGTGCTCCTGCTGCTCCCTGACAGAATGGAGAAGCAGCTGGGAAGGAAGAGAGCTGCCGTAGCTCACTGAAAGTCCATGGGCTGTGGGTCTTTTCACTGAATAGAGCCCAAAGTAGCTGGCTAACCACAGCAGGGAGTCTTCAGCATGACCCGAAAGATAATTTCTTGTAGTTTTGCTTATTAGTCTCTGAACTGCATGGTGAATTTAACCCTGACTGTTCTTTGGTCCCCCAGTGAAACATTTTCTTTTGTATTGACGGGTGAGGATGGAGGTCGCTGGTTTGGGTACTGCAAGAAGCTCCTGGTAAGCATCTGTGTATTGGGTGGAGTGTAGAGAATGCATTGATAAATGCACAGTCAAGCATGGGACATGAACCAGCAGTAATTTGCCACGTGGGTTATGCAGCGCCTGTGGTTCTGCTGAGGTTACCAGCCCGTGGAATGCAAAAGGGAGAGAGCAGGAGGATGCCCAGCATGGTGAAATGGGCTCTGGGTGTGAAAGACAGCTCCTGGAACTGGTCATTCTTCAGGAATCTTTAAGTGTCTAGGTGCTAGGTTCTTTACTGCGTCTCTGTTCTCAGCATAACTGTTCCTGTTGCCTTTCAGCCAGAAGGGAAAGGGAAGCGCCTTCCTGAGGTGTACTGCATTGTTAGCCGCCTGGGCTGCTTCAACCTCTTCTCCAAGGTGAAGTGGGGAGAGCCTGTCCCTTCGTATCAGACTTGGGTCTCTGACAGCCTGCAAGCTCCAGAAAATAACGGGATGCTTCTGTACAGACTAGGATTGCTTAGCAATTGTAACCCATCCCAGGAGAGCGGTGTTTCCTTGCTGCCTTTGCTTTGACAGGGCAAATAAAATTATACTAGTGCTGAGACTTGTCAGCCAATACAGACTTCAGCAAATTATTGCTGATATTACTGATGGTGCCCCTTCGTTGTCTTCTTCCATGACTTGGAAATGGGAAATCCGTTTAAGGCAGTGGGGGGGAAGGTCTCAGCTGGCACCCTGAGGAGAGTAGATGAGGCGATAAAGACTGGGGAAGGCTATTACAGGCAAAGGGCAGCTGCTGCAGGAGAATGCAGGGGCAAGTTTATGGTGAAAGCTGGTTTCTAATCGTTGGAGTACAAAATTTCTAGAACAGTGTTCCAGAAAGATTTGCAGGGGAGGAGGATGGGGTGTTGCTGCTCCTACTCCTCTAACTAGTTGTGAGAATTTGATTACCACATACAAGATGTTTCCCTGCATTGTCAGGAGACTGTATTTGAGAACAGAGAGTAGTCCTCACAGGTATTTGTTCTCATTTGATTGCTCAGACATTTGAGAGGAGCTTTCACCGCGATCCTGTGCAGGCGGGAGAGGGCTGTGAGCCTGCGTTGGGGCCTTCGTGTGTGGCTGCAGCACGGGATCCTCTAACAGGGGCTCACATCTCATATCTCCTCCTCCAGCTGGCATTGATCTGATATCAGATGTATTTTCTTGCAGATTTTAGATGAAGTGGAGAAGAGGCGAAAGATGTCCCCAGCCCTGGTGCACCCGTTCATGCGCAGCATCATGGAGGCGCCTTTCCCTGCTCCCGGACGCACCATCACCGTGAGGAGTTTTCTGCCAGGAGCAGGACATGAGGTAATGGAGACCAGGACCAGCTTTGCTCTGTCGGTGGCGTCTCGGGGCACAGTGGCACTTTGCGCGGCAGAGCGATGCTGCCTGTCAGTAATTAGTCTGAAGGGAGGCTGTCGTGGAAGCTGGCTTCCTGTTGAACCATGTACAGTAGAAGTGATTCCCTGCTCTTTAAGGACCAGCTGCCTGGGAGTCCTCTGCAACGCCCTGCGCTGACTGCCCGGCCATGGGGTTCCCCGTGCGAGGAGCCCCAGTTCCACGCTCCAGCCGGGCTCTGCGCGCCCACGTTGCCCAGCACTCTGCACCTCTGCTTGCCTCTCAGGTGATGGAGCTCTGCCGTCCGCTGGATTCTCGACTGGAACACGTTGACTTCGAATGCCTGTTCAAGTGTCTCAGTGTCTCTCACACGATTCGGGTCTTTGCCTCTCTCCTGCTGGAAAGGAGGGTGATCTTTGTTGCTGACAACTTAAGGTAAAAACTGAGTCCGAGTGACTGGTTCTTTCTGTGGAATACTGTTTTTTCTTCTGCATTTGAGCCTGTTTCATGTGCAAGCTTGTCTAAGTTTTTGTGAATAGTTACACTTAAAAGCGTTTTGCAGACTTTGCACACAACATGTGCACGCTTAGAATTTGGAGTTTGCTGCTTACCCCAGAGGAGGTACAGGAATGTTTCCTTTGCCTTGTTAGTCTGGGTTGATGCTATTCCTAGCTCCCCGTAACTGACTTTAAAAGTGGATGCATGGGGCTTCTGCTGATGCGTAAACAATGCACGTGAATTCCATTTTCCCCGAGCGTTTCTAACCTGTGTCTGTAGCTGTGTACTGAACGAGGTGTTGACAATCCACTCTGTGCTTCTCTTACCTTTCTAGCACTCTGTCCAAATGTGGCCATGCCGCCGTTGCAACGCTTTATCCCTTCACTTGGCAACACACCTACATACCAGTCCTGCCAACTTCTATGATTGATATTGTGTGCTCTCCGACCCCATTCTTAATTGGCATTCTCTCCTGCTCATTACCACAGCTCCAGGACCTGCCTGTAGAAGAGGTGAGAATCAGGTGAAGCAGTGGAGGGACAATGTCAGTGGTATGAAGCTGACCTCTCTGGAAGAATCTCTGTGGATTCTGTCTTAACATAAACTCGTAAACTTTTCTGAGACAGCTGCCAGATACACGTCAGGGTGTTCTGTTGTTATCAAAGATAAATAATATTCACTGTTCTTCGAGACAGGCTGCGGTTACTCAAAACTTGTGTTTCATGTGTGACATCCCCTGCCACTGGGGACATAAAAAAAAAAAAAGTATGTTTTTTCTGTGCAGCAACATACCTGGTTATGAGAGTCAGTGTATTTTGTACATCTTTTCCCAGGTTCTGATTGTTGATCTTTGTGCTGACATGTTCTTGCAAGAGGTGAGTGAAATAACAGTACCAGTCGCTCATGGTTATATGCCAGGAAAAGGCATCAACAAAAGGAGATGAAAGCAAGAAATCAGCAAGAGCTAGTATTCATACGTAGACTCCAGTGGCTGAAGAAACAGCTTGCATCCCATTTTGATCAGTAGAGAAAGGAACAGGCTTACAAATCCGTGTTGCAAGATTGAGGTTCCTTGAGGCACAGTCAAAGATGCTGCTTCTCTGAGCTGGATTTAAAAACCGATCCTTCGTTGGTTTTGTATGTGAAGTGGACCATGAGGATTCTTTGCTGCTTTCTGGCTGTCTGTGTACTTGTTCTCTACAGGGCTTTCTCCTTTCTCAGCTGGCTGGGGTGTGTTTATTGGTTTTGGTTTGGGGTTTGGGTTTTTTTGGTTTTTTTTTTCCCAGGAGTTATAGTTTAGGAGACAAATTATTGCAGTTCACTTGTGGATCTCTGCTGAACTTTACCTAATGTGCTTCCACATCACCAGACAAGCAGCTATAAACACAGCGGAGTATTACTAGTTCAGGAGGGTATTTGCATCTCCTTTTCCTTATCTTACTCTTCTGTTTTGCATTGCAGCCTGCAACTGAAGAAAGGTATTAAAGGATCGTGGTTTTTTAAGCATAATGTTGAGACTTGTCTTGTTTGCTCAACTGATTTTTGTTCTTCTTCTGTGTTTTATCACTGGTATAATAAGCCCGAGTCTGTGTAGTGAGTGTATCACACATTGTTCTGTTTTGCCCAGTTGTGTGTGGCTCTAACAGTATGTAATCAGAGGGTGCTGAGCAGATGTTTTTCATTTCTGTGGCTATAAAACAAATGTATCGTTTCCACCAAGATACACCATATCACAGAGTAACTTCCCTCTAATTGTTTTATGCATGTTACCAGTATTTCTCCCCTGTTCACAATGAGAAGGTTCTGTTGATGATGGATATAACACAAAAATGCTTTCATGGCCATTTTTCTCTTTAGGTATCAGATGAAGATGAGATCCTGCCTCCTAAACTCCAGGCTGCACTTGTACAAATCTTGGAAGAACGAAGTGAAATCTTATCACATGAGCAGAGTGACACACAAGGTACTTCTATGGAAAAGTGTTTTCACATGAGCAGATCTCTACAGCTCCCATGGAGTTGATACAAAAATGAGGGAATTTTCCTGTGATCTTACTGAGAACACCTTTCTTGTGAGTGTGTTAGAAAGAAGTGTCCTCACAGTGGTTCCTCTTTCACAAGCAGTATGTGTAGAGCTCTAGTTTTCCTTGGGCCAAGTGCATCAGTTCCCGTGCTTTGCGTTTTCTTTAATTTATCTGAAGTGGCAGAAAGAACGCTTTTTCTGAAGCAGAGTACGTAGCAAGTCTGTACTTTAGAGGGTAATCTGACAGATCATTTCCAAAGTTGAACTGCTTTATACAGAATCTGTCAGATAAAAAACTGTGAGGATTTTAAAAAGCATTGAGTAGCTTTGAGTGAATGGCTTTGGAAAATTATGTCCAATGCACATGGGAAGTAACAAAGTTAGTTTTCCAGTGGGTTTGTGTTTTTTAATTTGCCTAATTCTTTAAGAGAATTAAGTCTTTGAGTTGTCCTCTTCACAGGTGACATGCCTCTTAACTCCCTGGTCTCTGAAGCTTTTGTGCAGTTCTTTGTGGAGATTGTTGGACACTACTCCCTGCATATGAATGTCACAGAAAAAGGGGAGCGGGTCTTTCAGCGGGAACTGTTCCGTAAATCTCATATGTCACGCAGTGTGCGTCATTTCTTGCACTTCTTCATGGAAACACAGATGTTTGCAGGGTTTATACAGGATCGAGAGCTAAGTAAGAACGTGGTCCAAGGTGAGGTTTGATCTTATGTTCTTCTTTTACAACCTCAAAGTATAATGTCACATGACTCTGGCTCTTAAGGAGCCTTTTTTATGGCAAGTTATCCTGCTATCTTAGGAGGCAAATAATTTTTGCATCTCTCTCCTTTCTGGGCTTGATCCTGCAGCCCAGATTACATGCATGGTGTCCTTTTCATAACCTCTTTGTTAAAGATATAAGATGCCATGTGCTAAAAGATGGAGTGGCTCATACAGCCAAGTGATATATTTCTTTTTTTCCTCTTTAGGCCTTTTTGAGGTCCGTGCCTTGGAGTATTTGGAGAGCATTCCAGAGACGGAACCAACCGCAATGAACAGAATCCTTCGCAGTCTTGGTAAAGGGACACCCTTGCTTTTTTTTTCTTTAATAAATGTAGCCATTGAACAAATCCTTGCATGCAGAAGAGAGCAGGGCCGTTCTTCACCTCGTGCACTTGTGTTCTTCTTGCTTACGTTTGTCCCTTCAGGGGACGCTGAACCCTTTGCAAGATTTTTCTTTCTAAGGTTTCACATCTTCAGCTGAAGTTGGTGGAAG